TGAGTAAAATACATGTCTGCACCTGCTCAAAGAAGAGTGGTTACCTACCTGGACTGTAACTGTTGTTCTTCGAGATGTGGGTGAAGAGGTGTCTTCCATGACCCGCCCTCTGTCTCCTCTGCACTGCAGTGTTACCATTTAATGTTCAGTGTGAAGGAACCGACGGGGGTTGGAGCCCTTAAACAGCCTGGGGAAGGACTAAGGGGACGTAGGACACGAGCACCACCCCTATGGTTATTGCTAGGGAAAGTTCTCTGGCTTCTGAGTGCTGAGTGCGCACACACCTGAGTGGAGTACAGGTCTACACCCATATCTTGCAGAACAACAGTTACAATACAAGAGAGTAACTGTTTTTTTCCCAGCAGCAGGTGATAGCAGGATGAAGATATTTTTCTAATATAAGAAGGGCATTGAAAACCAGGCTGGACAAGGCCCTGGGGGATAATTTACAGGGGGGTAATCCTACCCTGGGTCCCAGAGAGGGATGGAGTAGATGGGATCTGATGTGGAGTAGTTAAAAATGGGATCTGATGTGATCCACAAGGAATAGTCTGTAGGGACTCCGGCCACATGGGATTCAGTAGAAGCTTTTCATCTCTACTATCTCTGATGACTAAAAGGTGCTCACATACCATGGTCATGAGCATGGAGTTGGTGGGTGGGTGGATATGTATGGTGACAAACAGAAACAGATCAGCATACAAGGCCTCAAAGAGGGAGCCACAGGGTGAAACTGACTTACTTTTGTGATGCTGCATGTGCCATTGGGCATCAGTCGCTTCCGAGTGACATTTTCAAAGGCTGTTTGAATGGCTGCCATTAGCTCTGGGGTATCTGAAACCTGCACACATTAATAGAATCCAGTCACCCGGGGAAAGGTGCTTTGGATTCTTGAGACCTCTTATTTGAAAAGTTCTCTTGCCTCCATGGATTGCAAGAAGCCTTAAGCTACACTTACCCTTACAAGCACTACAATAGCACTTCATCTAATAATGAGGTTTTCATCCCTCTGCTGAGGGGGAGCAGAATTCGGGGGGATGGGGAGCAATGGAGCCCCAAGAGTTGCCTCCAAATCCAGAGAACAGAGCAGACAGCAAACTCTGTGCCACCTGCCATGACATCTCTCCAAGAACCGTGGCATCACAACACTAATATCACAGCATTTCTTCAAATACTAAAAACTTGCTCACAGGCGACAAAAACAACTTGGACGACTGTGTGACAGCACCATCTGGTGATTCCTCTCATGACATTATTAATATTATAGTAGCCCTGGAAGGCTACCACTTTCATCAGCATCCAATTCTGTTGGGGGCTGCACAGACTCCAACTGAGATCAGGGTATCATTATGCCAGATGCTGCACAGACCCTGACCAAGACTGGGGGGCCTGTCTTGCCAGGAGCTGCCCTGACCCCAAGTGAGACTGGGGCCCCCATTGTGTAAGGCCCTGCACAGACGCATAGTGAGATAGAGTGCCTCCCCTGAAGAGCTCACAATCTAAATAGACAAAAGGAGGTAGGGGCAACTGAGGCCCCAAGAGGGGAAGGGACTTGCCCAAGATCACCCAGCAGGTCAGTGGCTGAGCCATAAATAGACCCCAGTAGCCCTGAGTTCCAGTTGAATCAGCACGGCTAGTCATTGGACCATGCTGCCTCTCATGGAGAATTATAACAGTATCCTAAAAAATCCACCACATACAATAGTTACCTGCAAACTCTGCAGACATTCCCGTCTGAACTGGCTGTTAGTGCTGCTGGACACCACGCTGGAAATGGCACCTAGGATGACGGGCAGGGACAGCTTCAACCTCTGCTGGTTCTGGGAAGGGCCAAGAACATTTTACTGCACATTTCCATTCCCGTCGACACCCCTCCACCTGGCCACCCCGGGACGGATCAGAAAACCAAGGCAAATCCTGTGTTGGGGAAGCTTAGGGGGGCAGAATGGGATGTGGTCCTACTGGAATTAGCTCAGCACTTAGGGGGATCAGCCCGACACCTAGGAAAAGCACCCTGCCATCTAGCAGGTTTATGTCTCTTTCAGATGGTGTCACCCGCAGCAGTACAGCATCGCCTAGCACAGCCCTAGAGAACTGGGGTTGGGACTAATCCCAAGAGGACAGCACCCCCTACGGAGGGCCTGGCACAGTTCCATGGAGCATAGCATGCCCTAATGCCACACTGGGCTTAGTACTGACTCCAAAGGGAGGGCTCCCCCACCCTTCTCTCTGAAGCACAGTGCCCGCAGCAGCTCACTGACTCAGAAGGGGGAGCAGCTCCTGCTGAATCACCCACACCACTTCTTGTGGAACTTGAAGTTTTGCACAAACATTTCCAATCCAAGTCCTTACCAAATCCCACGCTGCTGAGCTGGCAAAATCACCTGAGAGCACAGTTCACAGGAGTCTGGCTGCAGGATATGTGGTGAAGCCAACTAGACCCAGTAATAAAACAATGAGAACAGAAAGAGCAGGCAAGAGCCAAACTCACCCCGATATGACAGCAGGCTCAGAGAGAATGGAGAGAGGAGTCCAGATAGAAGAGCTGACCCTCTGATCTCAGATCCATGGGTTCTGTGCTGCCTAATACACATATCAGTACAAGCTCCTACCTTCCCTCTCTTGCAGTGCTCCTGTAGCATTGCGTCAATGACAGCCTGGACTCCACGCTTCACTGCCTCCTGGCTGCACAGGAGAATCTGGTCCATATGGGATGCAATCATGCGCCGGGTCCCTGAGTCACAACAGTTCGAGGTTCGTTTACATTGGGTTTGGTTTGCTTAGGGAAGAGTCATTTTTAGGCGATGATGATCCAAGGAGTCAAAAAACAGGTCAAATCCCAAAGGCAAATCAGTTATTATTTATGTTGCATGGTTGCCCCGAGGATCCAAACAAGACCAGGTCCCCAGTGTGCCAGGTGCTGCACAGATCCTGAGTGAGAGCAGGGCCCTGTCCTTCCAGGTGATGCACAAACCCTGCAACAGCCACAGGGCTCTCTCATGTTCCCAGTAGCATAGTGCCCCATAGCACTGCACTGGGGTCTGTACAGCACCCAGCATGCTGGGGACCCCCACCTCCTTTGGAGCTGGTGCAGTGCCTGCCACACCAGGAACCCCCATCTCATCTGGAGCCAGTGCAGTGCCTGCCACGCAAGGAACCCACATCTCATCTGGAGCCAGTGCAGTGCCTGCCACGCAAGGAACCCACATCTCATCTGGAGCCAGTGCAGTGCCTGCCACGCAAGGAACTCACATCTCATCTGGAGCCGGTGCAGTGCCTGCCACGCAAGGAACCCTCATCTCGGTGGGGTCTGTGCAGCACCCAGCACGCTGGGACACTGATCTCAGTCGGGGTCTGTGCAGCTCTTGGCACAATAGGGGCCCCGATCTTGGTTGGGACTAATCATATACAACACTGCAGTTTTTGTTTCCAGCCTCTAGGGGAAGACAAGCCCAAGATTTGAGCTGGGATGTTACCCTAGAAAACAGTCAAGCGATTTTATACATACAGAAATCATAAAATGGCTTATCTTGAAACTGGTCTGAGTAGTGGAGAAAGAGGAAGAGCAACAGAGTCTGCTCCCAAGTGTCTGGATCATCTTCTTGGCTTCCACCGTCCCAGTGAAGTTTATATCTGACATCTGGGTTCACTTGATCTGGGGGGCAATGGAACATCAAGCAGCATTTTTATACAGAGACACAGCCAGTGCTGCCATCTTTGATCAGGCAAACAGCTTCATGATGTGAGTGTAGTGCTGCCAGGACGGCACTCAGCACCCACAACTTCTCACAGCTCAGATCCCACTTAGGCTGCACTGTGGTAGCAGGGCCGCCCAGAGGATTCAGGGGGCCTGGGGCAAAGCAATTTCGGGGGCCCCTTCCATAAAAAAAAGTTGCAATACTATAGAATACTATATTCTCGTGGGGGCCTCTGTGGGGCCCGGGGCAAATTGCCCCACTTGCCCCCCCCCGGGCGGCCCTGTGTGGTAGTGCCAATGGGCCAGCACCCCATTCTTCTGGGCACTGTCCAAACGTAACAAAGAGACTGTTCCCTGACTCAAAGAGCTTGCAGTCAACAGCCAAGTCTACACCCAGCCTTTCTCCTGCTATAAGCAATGCCAAGGGGTGATTTTTTTAACTGATCTAGTTATACTAGGACAGCTCCTAGTTTGGATGCAGTTATACCAGGATAAAGGTGCCTTATCCTGGTACAGCTTAGGGAATAGCTATACTGGCCGAAAGCACATTAATCCCAGTATAATTGTGTCTACACTAGGGGGATGCAACACTTTAACTACCCAGGCACAGCACAACTTGGGTGAGCAGATAAAGCCTTGATGTTAGATCATAGCCACCGGCAGAATTAAACCAAGAGACAGGAAAAGCAAAGGGAACCAGTGAAATGCTTGCAATCTGCACACTCAGCAGCACTCCCAGCTCACCAACTGCACAGCCCCTGGGGAACATTTTGCAGTGCACAGCAAATGGGGGCTAACAAGGGTGGAAGGACAGCAAGGTGGCTTTGAGGATGTTCACAGGCAGCTCCCGCCATGCATGAAGGGGCAGCATGGGGGAAAGCGCCAAGGTGCATGCTGGGAAATGTTTCAAATGGGCGACGGAGAATGGCATGGTTTGCTCAGTATTTTAGAGGAGGGGCATTCAGGAAAATCTCGCCCTCATTTAGGTACTTAAAAGAACTTTGTGATCCTGCTGCCACAGCGTGCTTCTCAGTGCCACAAAATGGCATGATGGAGAAAGAAGGGGCTCTAATAATGGCCACTGGTTATTACTGCTATTTAATAGCATGATAGTGCTACCTAGAGGCACCATTCAAGATCCTGGCCCAATCGTGCCGGTGTTTCAGAGACTCAGATTGCGGCCCCTGCCATGCCAGGCCCTGCACAGACACCCAAGAGAGAGTCCATGCCCCCAAAAGGGGGAGGGGAAACAAAGCCACCAGGAGGAAAGGGACTTGCCCAAGGTCAGCAGCAGGAGACAGACTAGAAGCCAGGAGTCCTGACTCCCATTCCTGTGCCTGCCTGTCTAGGCCCCCCACTTCACTCCACAGCCCTGCCCCGAGGGTATGTCTGCCACAAAAAAAGCCAGTCTCGGAGCCCGGGTCAACTGACTCGAGCTTGAGGCAAGGGGCCAAAACTAGTGTAGACCAGGGGTTCTCAAACTTCATTGCACCATGACTCTCTTCTGATAACAAAGTTACTACATGACCCCAGGTGGGGGCAGAGCCCAAGCCCCGCCGCCCCGAGTGGGGGAAGAGGAGGCCAGAGCCCGAGACTCGCTGCCCAGGGCGGGGGTGGAGCTCAGGCTTCAGCTTCTGCCGGGGTTCCAGCAAGTTTAATGCTGGCCCTGGTGACCCCATTAAAATGGAGTCAGGACCCACTTTGGGGTCCCGACCCACAGTTTGAGAACCGCTGGTGTAGACAATTGGGCTCGGGTTGGAGCCCAGGCTCTGAGACCCACCCCCATTGCCAGGTTTCACAGCCTGATCTCCAGCCCAAGCCTGAACACCTGCATTGCTATATTTAGCCCCGTAGTGTGAGCCCCGCAAGACCCACTCAGTTGACCCGGGCTCTGAGACTTGGTGCCGCAGGGTTTTTTTGCGGTGTAGACGTACCTTCCCTCCCTTCTCTGTCTTTACCACTGGCCACCCTGCCAAATTGACACAACAGGATTGGAGTGAGGAGGGTCAGATTTTGCCACAAAATCACCAGTTCAAGTTTGAGTGCATCCTTTGTGACAAGTCAGTGGATTTTCAGATGCCTGCGCTGTTGGCAACAGACAAATTCTGATTTGTCTTGAGATCTGAGCCAACCAATATGGGAAGCTCTAACTATGCATCTGTGCAGCACCCAGCACAATGGAGGCTCAATCTCAGTTGGGATCTGTGCAGCACCCAGGACAACAGGGCCCCGATCTCGGCTGGGGACTGTAGAGCACTCAGCACGGTGGGGCCCCGATCTTGGTTAGGGATCTTTAGATTCTGAGAAGGCTGTGAGCTCTACACAATTGCCTTTGAGAATGACAGCACCTTCTTCCTGCCCTGGATCTGAGTCCAGTGTTGCACTATAGCTGTACTTCTCCCATTCTGCTAAGTTCGATGGGTTATTGAAGAACAAAGATGATTTCCCCTTTGCATAGAATGATATGGGCAAACCCGCGGGGTCGTAGAAAAATATGTATTGCTGGCTAAGGAAGAAACCACTGTGAGACTTAAAGGCAAAGAAATCTGAGTGCAACCAACACCTTTCCCTCTCCTGCAGTTATGCCGGAGGCTCGCCCTTGTAAACACATGATCTTTCAGTCCTAGTGTTCTTACATGCGACAAGGTACAGCAATTTCCAGGAGCAGTGTGATTTTGGAGACCTGCTGGCTCTTTACATTATGGTGGATGTTAAGGCCCAAAGGACCATTCTTACATCCTTATCTGGCCTGCTCCACAGCACATGAGAGTTTCACCCAGCACACTTTCTCTGTGGCAGCTTTTTCAGGGTGGCCTAACCCTGAAGGGTGCTGGAGCCACACCTCAGTGCCTCTGAGGATCAATGAGAGCCCCACAAGAGCTGAAATTGACTCCTCTGTTTGTTGTGACCAGTGAAAATTGCAATAGGATGAGATGGCTCGTGAGCCTATCTGAGAGGAAGAACACTGCAGTGGAGAGGGTGCTAAAATGAGACTCGGGAAACCCAGGTTCAAGTCCTTGCCCTGCCACAGATGCACTGGGTGACCCTGACAAGTCACTTAGCCTCTCTGTGCCTTAGTTCTCCAGCTGTACCAGGGAAATAATAGCACTGCCCTGCCTCCTGGGGGATTGGGAGGATAAGTACAGTAAAGAGTACCAGGTGCTCAGACACTACAGTGGTGGGGGCCAGATAAGCATTTTGGACAAATACAAAGGCCCGATGCTCAGCACACAATTGTGGGCTAAACTGCTCTCTGCTATGGTGGCTCCTGATGAAGTGACTCCTGTGTTTCGAGCATCCCTCTCAGGTGCAATTCACCTCTGTGCAGCAGGCCCATGGCCCCCTGAAGCCCTGGTCAGCCCCATATGGAAATATTTTTTCTGGTAAAGGATATGGAGACAGCAGCAATCTTAGCAGGCTGATTGGGATACAGCTTCAGGCAGGGGCACAGCGCGGCAGCTGGCGTGACTTCCAGCTCCCCGGTGAAGCCAGTTTCAGCCACTTCATGGGGAATCAGGAGGTTGACAGCCCTGCCCAGCACAGGGTGGATTTTGTCACAAAGGAAGTTTGCGCCACGGGACACCAAGCTCTCCACAACCCTATGTGGGACAGAAATAAACAAAAGGAAATAAGAACAAAGGCATTGCTGCAACAGATCAGATCGATGACCCATCTACTCTGGTATCTGGTCTCTAGCCCTCACCAGACCAGGAGCAATGATCTAGCTGTTACTACTTATTTTACACTAGCACCTGTAGTGCCAAGTGCTGTGCAGGTTCCTATACCAAGACATCCCATCACATTGGATCCCGCACAGATCCTGACCGAGATTGGCAGGTTCTGTATAGCACCTGGCATAATAGGGCCTATATATCAGGTGGGATCTGTGCACTGCCCAGCAGAACTGGCTCCCAATCTAAGTTGGGGTGTGTACAGCACCCGGCACAAGGGGAGGCCCCAATCTTAGGCAGGGTCTGTGCAGCACCTGGCACAAGTGGGGGGGCCCGATCTCATTTGGGCCTCTGGAGTGATCCTGTAACACAAATAGCTGCCATCTGACCTACATCCTCTCTCAGGAAGATGGAATGCGACAGAAAGACTCCTCCTGTCCCTGCAGGCAGAACAGTGCACACTCCTTAAAAGGCACTTGCCCTATAACGTGACTCCAACCTGGCTGCTTTCACAGGATGCAGTGCTCCACTACAGTCCCTGCAGGCAGGGAGGCAACTGCTTCCCATACCCACACAGTTTGTGCAGAGCTCTGGATTGGGCACAGACAGGTCTGGGGCTCTGAGTATAAAAACACTTACACCCATGAGCCCTTAGATGTTAGTGGGCCTCACATGGGTAAAGTTAAACATGTGCAGGAAGAGCTGTCCGCAGGAAGCTATTCACAATCATAACAACAACTTTATTGAACACATAAGCCAATGAACAATGCAACAGATCCTATTATTCATACAGCCCACTAGGTGGCAAACGTTATGTACAGTATGTACCAACTAGACATTAGCACTTGGTTGAAAAATTTTGATGGAATCGTTTTCTGTCAAAACATGCAGTTTAGCTGAAATCAAAATGTTTTGTGGCAAATTTTCAATTATTTTTTTGGGGATTCTCGTTTTGTTCCAACAACAAAATATTTCATTTTTAATACAGTAAAAATGTGTAATTTTGACTTTGTCATTTGGATTAATTTTGTTCCACTATTGTATTAAAATATTAAATATATTAAATTAATATTTTAAAATAATAAAAAAGTCTAAATGAAATGAATCAAAGCAATAAAGTCAAAATGACATACCTTACAGAATGAAACATTCTGACATCATAAAATGAAGCAATTTGACATGATCCAAACAGAACTTGCTGATGGTCCTGAATCAGAAGTTTTCTTTCATGGGAAGTTATAACATTTCGGCTTCTCATTTGGATTTGGAATGAGTTCCCCCCCAAGAAATGTCAGCATTTCCCGTGGAACAGAAATTCTGGCTTCTGACCAGGTCTCTTCCTGTGCGCACACACATATACATATTTCTTTTTATACACAACTCCTGTAACATACATAAGTGTTTATAGGATGGGGCCCCAGCTGTCAGCAAAGCACTTAAGCTAGTACTTAACTGTAAATCTGTGCCTAAATCCCATAGACCGCAATAGGATTTAGGATTTACGCATATATTTAATAAGTATTTTGCTGAATTGGGGCCTCAGAAGGGAGTGCATTACCTTAGAAGCTGGCTAGATGGCGCTAGAGCATAGTGGGTGTAGAATAAACAACGGTTACTAACCTTCTGTAACTGTCGTTCTTCGAGAGGTATTGCACATGTCCATTCCACTGTAGGTGTGCGTGTGCCAAAGCACAGTCGCCAGAAATTTTTTCTCGCAGTAGGACCCATTGGGGCAGCTCAAGCACCCCCTATAGTGCCAGTATAAAGCACCCAGATGACCCCACTCCCCTTCAGTTACTTCTTTCCAGAAAACTCTGAGGTAGTAGAGTGGTAGGAGGGCAGGTCATGGAATGGACATGTGCAACATATCTCAAAGAACAACAGTTACAGAAGGTTAGTAACCGTTTTTCCTTCTTCCAGTGACTTCACATATGTATTCCACTCTAGGTGACCCCCAAGCAGTTGAATAGGTGGAGGGATCCGAGTTCATCAACACTCTGACTGCAGAACAGCTCGACCAAATTTGGGATAATCTCTGGACTGTTGAGTGACGGTGTAATGGAAGGAGAATGTGTGCACCAATAACCAGGTCGCTGCTTTACTAATGTCCTTAATAGGGATCTGCGCTAGAAATGCTGCTGAGGATGCTTGCGACCTTGTGGAATGAGCAGTCAGGTTAGCTGGTGGCAAAACACCTGCTTGATCGTAACAAGTACACCTCTACCCCGATATAACGCGACCCGATATAACACAAATTCGGATATAATGCGGTAAAGCAGTGCTCCGGGGGGAGGGAGGGGCTGCGCACTCCGGTGGATCAAAGCAAGTTCGATATAATGCGGTTTCACCTATACACGGTAAGATTTTTTGGCTCCCAAGGACAGTGTTATATCGAGGTAGAGGTGTACAACTACATGAAGTGATACTGTACATGACAAAATTATCTGTGAAGAGATTGGGAGACCCTTCACCCTGTCAGCTACAGTTACGAACAGTTAGGTGGACTTTCAGAATGGTTTAATCCTGTCTATGTAGAAAGCTAGGGCTCGTCTAACATCCAATGAATGAAGGTGTTGTTCATTCCTATTTGCATATGGCTTTGGGTAAAAGACAGATAGGTAGATTGCTATGAATTGCAAAAACACTTTTGGGAGGAAACTGGGGTGAAGACATAAATGCACCTTATCTTTAAAGAAGACTGTGTATGGAAGCTCTGATATGAGGGCATGGAGCTCCGAGACCCTTCTGGCCAATGTGATAGCCACTAAAAAAACTACTTTCCAGGCGAGGTATAATAAGGAGCACGTTGCCAAAGGCTCAAATGGTGGTCCCATAAGCTTTGAATAGACTAAAGTTCAGGTCTCAGGGAGGAATGGGCTCTCTTACTTGAGAGTATAATCTTTCTATGCCTTTGAAGAATCGGATATACATGTTATTGCAAAAAAGGACCGGTTATCCACCCAAGGGTGGAAAGTGATATTACTGCAAGGTGAACCTTGATAGAGGATTGCTAAGTTTTCTTGTTTCAGGTGCAATCGGTATTCAAGTATTTCTTGTAAGGATGACTGCGTGGGTGAGACTCCGCGTTGGAACGCCCAGAGAGAAAACCACTTCCACGTTGAAAGGTAAGTAGCCCTGGTGGAGGGGTTTCTATTACAGAACCTGACAAACTTGCTCTGAGCAAGTCTGCTCTCTGGGATTTAGGCATGGAGCTTCCAAGCTGTTAGTTGAAGGGAGCTCAGATTTGGGTGGAGCAGCCAACCGTAGTCCTGAGAGATCAGGTCCGGGTGTAAAAGAAGCAGGATTGGAGTTGACATTGAGAGGCCTACGAGAACCAGTGTTGGCAAGGACTTGCTGGGGCTATCAGAACAAGAAGAGCCTGGTCCCATTTGATCTTTAGCAGTACTCTGTGCACAAGAGGGATAGGGGGGGAAAGTGTAGTAAAGATGTCCCATGCATGGTAGCAGAAAGGCATCCATGATAGAACCCGGTCTGTGGCCTGGGAGGGAGCAGAATTGGTGATACTTCCTGTTGTACCTAGTTGCAAATAGGTCTATCTGGGGAGTCCCCCAATGCCAGAAAACATCTCTCGCCACATCCGGGCGAAGGGACCACTCGTGGTGACTGGAAAAAGACCTGCTGAGGTGATCTGCCAGCTTGTTTTGTGTTCCTGGAAGGTAATAGGCCTCGAGGTTGATTGAGTGGGCTATGCAAAACTCCCCATAGCTGAGTCGCTTCTTGACAAAGAAGGGAAGAGCGAGCTCCTCCTTGCCTGTTGAGATAAAACATGGTTACAGTGTTGTCCGTGAGAACAAACAAGTTTCTGCCCATAATGTGGGGCAGGAAGGCCTGACATGCTAGGCGAACCACTCTGAGTTCCCTGACATTGATGTGGACTGAAAGTTCCTATGGATATCAAAGGCCTTGAGTTCTGAGGGGCCCCAGGTGAGCTCCCCACCCTAGTGCTGATGCCTCTAAGGCCTGGTCTACACTAGGCTTTTATGTCGACTTTAGCGCTGTTATATCGAATTAACCCTGCACCCGTCCACACCAGGAAGCCATTTAGTTCGACATAAAGCTCTCTTTAAATCGATTTCTGTAATCCTCCCCAACGAGAGGATTAGCGCTAAATTCGACATGGCCATATCGAATTAGGCTAGGTGTGGATGGAAATCGACGGTAATAGCTCCGGGAGCTATCCCACAGTGCACCACTCTGTTGACGCTCTGGACAGCAGTCCGAGCTCGGATGCTCTGACCAGCCACACCCCCGGGAAAATTTGAATTTATTTTCATTTTCCTGTCTGGGCAGTTTGAATCTCAGTTCCTCTTTGGACATCGAGGTGAGCTCAGCAGCAGTGGCAACGATGCAGAGCTCTCCAGCAGAGATGGCCGTGCAATCTAATAGAAAGAGGGCCCCAGCATGGACTGATCGGGAAGTCTTGGATCTCATCGCAGTGTGGGGCGATGAGTCCGTGCTTTCAGAGCTGCGCTCCAAAAGAAGGAATGCTAAGATCTACGAGAAGATCTCCAAAGCCATGGCAGAGAGAGGCTACAGCCGGGATGCAACGCAGTGCCGCGTGAAAATCAAGGAGCTGAGACAAGGCTACCAGAAGACCAAAGAGGCAAACGGACGCTCCGGATCCCAGCCCCACAGATCCCGTTTCTACGAGGCACTGCATTCCATCCTTGCTGCGGCCGCCACCACTACCCCACCACTGACCGTGGACTCTGAGGATGGGATATTGTCCACGGCCGGTTCCTCAGCGGACGGGGAAGAGGAGGAAGGAGATGAGGAGGACGAGGCAGTCGACAGCGCTTACCAAGCTGATTTTCCCGACAGCCAGGAGCTCTTCATCACCGTTACAGAGATCCCCTACCAACCCTCCCCAGCATGTAACCTGGACACAGATTCAGGCGAAGGATCAA